TTTATTCGTTCGTCCGTCTGTCTGGACGTGCATCCATCCATCAGTCCATTTGTCCATGTACCGGCTGATCTTGGTCTGCACTGGACGCTTGGATGGAACCTGAAGGGTTACAATAGCATATTACAAATTTTAAACTAATGTTCAACTCCAGCAAATTTATTCTAGTGACATAAAATGATACAACTATAATTTCAAATTTGTAATCATTTTGAGAGCTTTTAAAACATTAATAGTTTATACTGATAAACTGTATACGTAAAAGGAACTTTTTGTGACAGCATGGGGTTTATAAAATACGTAATTTAAGATTTATATCATAAGTTATTGAATTATTTGAAGATTAAATTAGCCCGACTTTCATTCTGTTAAACCTAATGTTCCATTGTTTAATTATCAAAACAAACAAAAAATGCAACTGGCATTTGACGGTTTTATACAACTGATACGTCCGTGTCCGAACCATTCCGAATATTGACTCACTTGCCCCTAATTATATTGAGTTTGATTCCCGCCAGGGACTTTCAAAACTTTCAAGTGTGGAAGCTATTCAGCAAGTTTAATTTATTGAAAATTGGTAGTAAAAAAAAATAAACCGATGTCATTTAATGATATATAAATATCTAAAAATGAAATATTGATGAAATAAAAATGCATATTTTCATTTTCCGCATTTTCACCGCAAAGATATATGAGCCGCGTCACGACAAAACCAACATAATGGGTTTGCGACCAGCATGGATCCAGACCAGCCTGCGCATTCGCGCAGTCTGATCAGGATCCATGCTGTTCGCTATCAGTTTCTCTACTTGTAATAGAGTTGGTAAGCGAACAGTATGGATCCTGATCAGACTGCGCGGATGCGCAGGCTGGTCTGGATCCATGCTGGTCGCAAACCCATTTGACGCGGCTCATATTTTTTCACTGCAGGGAAACATGCTCCCCGTTGTTATTTTTTTCATTTGTGAAATATTTATTTTCAACCACTCGATGAAAGTAAATCCTGTATTTATAGAAAAAATTCATTCATATGTGTTACACCCATAAAATATTTCTTTTTCATATACAGTACATAAATTCGCATACTGATATTTACTCCTTATTTACTTATTATTTATTTTATTTCGCATATTGTGGCTTTCATTTTTCCTTGAATTGAAATGGAAATTTGATAAATAAATGTACATCTTTTGGTTATCAGGTTCATAAAACATGACATTTCATTAAATGATTAAACATTATTAAACACTTCAAGTATACGTCGACAACATTTAAATATAGCGTTAGTGGTAAATACTCGGTTCTTCGACACCTTGAACAACTACGAGCCCTCATGATCGCAACTTTTCGGCCTTTTCCGTCAGTTTACTCAGTTATTATAGATAATAGCCAAGGATGTTCCGATTGCGTGCCCTCGTTTACTCTTGGCCCGTTGGAACCAGAAGCAATTAGCCTTTTCCAGCAGTATAGAGCCTAGATACAGGCCAGCCTAGGACGATCAGGCTTTGTCTGACCGTATATGTCACGGACCGTATACAATGTATGTCACGGACCCTATATGTCACAGACCGTATATGTCGCGGATCGTATATGTCGCGGACCGTATATGTCGCGGACCGTATATGCCACGGACCATTTATGTCACGGACCGTATATGTCACGGACCGTATATGTCGCGGATCGTATATGTCGCGGACCGTATATGTCGCGGACCGTGTATGTCACGAACCGTATATGTCGTGGACCGTATATGTTAGGGAACGTATATGTCGTGGAACGTATATGTCCCACGTGTGGGACATATTCGGCCGAATTAATCACAGCTGTCTATGTCCGACATTGCTTTATACCCCGTAACACAATTGTTGTCAAGCTGAATTTTGAATGGACTGTTCCAAAGTCAAAGCTGGATAAATCAATTTCACAAATTTCAACAGGATTAAAGCAGCATGCCTCCAGATTCATGCTTATATTTTAAGAAAATTGAAGAAAAAAATGTAAATAAAAATAAATTAAATATTTTAAAGGGAACAGAGAAAGTAATCTATATATTACAAATGACATATACAATTCACTTAAATTACTGAAAAAGAGGTGTCAATATATGGAAAAATAACAGTTATTGCGTAAGTAACGCAATATAAATATGGTGATATATACCGAAAAATTAAGTCATTAATCGTGCGTAATATGTAAATTATTACTTTAATCTGTTTACTTTTTGATTTACTTGAAATAGTTTTGGCTCATCTGGAGGCATGCAGCTTTAAGGGTTTACAACTGAATTGTTCCCCTTTATTCTTAACTTCCCCAAAATTCCTATGCAACTTTGTCTCCATAACATATTCAAAAAAATCTCCACGCAAATTTTCTGATAGAACCGTTGGTCAACGACCAAGACACATAACTCTAGCACAATGTTTTACTGATTCACTGAGTTACCAACCTTGCGAATTCCGTGCTGTACATCTTTCATCTCTGTGATTTCGGGTCTTTATTTTATACTTGTATTAGCTCTAGTGAAGGTTTAAGTTAACCCTTGGCATGTTAAAAATATTTTTGTAATCTGCTAAAATATCGTCTGCACTTTTTTAAAACCTTCCGGAGCGGTTATTTGCCCAGATCAGTATGGAAGCTAATGCCACCACAAGTGAAATTAGATTTTTTTTAACTTTTCAATTCAAATTTGATATTCCCTATCACTATAAGTTTCTTTCATTAAATGATTGTGCAAAAAAAAAGCAAAACACGAAAAAATGGGGTTAAGATGTAAATTCTTGTATAATATTATACCGACTGATTGTCGGGCCTAATATACAATGAATATACAAAGAAGTTTTTAAAAGAGAAATTCTGCATGCAAAACCCGAGTTACATTAATGAAAAAAAAAATAATGACAAAATTTTGATATTTTACAACTGACACCATAACATAAACAAACAAAATGGCGGAATCATGCGAATGATGTCACCCTCTTATTGTATCAGAGCAAACCATCTCACAGCGGTTACGTCATGCTTTGCTACTATTACTTTGTTTCTGTACTGATCAGGGGAAGTAACCGCTGCGGGGAGTTTGGTATCAGAGATCTATTGCGGAGCATTATAGCCGAGGATATCAGATTGGCCTGTTAGGGAGCAAACATTGTGGTCCCCCTTTGCTTGGCTACACAGACTTGAGCGTAACCAATCAAATCACTGTGAGGAGTTTGTTTAAAGTGTCAAACACGTCTTTCATACTTGAAATATATCATGCCTGATAACTTGCATGATACTTAAGTTTTAACTTTTTTTGTTTGATTGATTAAACTTTGAAATGTAAACAAAACGGGATTGAAATATCTGGAAACTATTCTAAAATAGATATACTTACAAGTGTCACTAGCAGCATATCCTGTTTTAGTGTATGCATACAATTTTTTTTTTTCCAAATATATATGTAGGTGAAATGCAAACATCTTAAATTCATATGACGTACACTACGGTCTAGCTTTATATACATGTAATACCGGATAGGATGTCGTTTGTCCGTCGGTATATTTCTTGAATTCAAGTGTTCAGGGAAAATGTTCGAAAAGATATACACGTGCAGAGATCAAATGAGTCGCGTCATGACAAAACCAACATAATGGGTTAGCGACCAGCATGCGCATCCGCGCAGTCTGATCAGGATCCATGCTGTTCGCTATCAGTTTCTCTACTTGTAATAGGGTTGGTAAGCGAACAGCATGGATCCTGGTCAGACTGCGCGGATGCGCAGGCTGGTCTGGATCTGTGCTGGTCGCAAACCCATTATGTTGGTTTTATCATGGCATGGCTCAAATGATTTAGCCATTTAAGTATTTCAATTCTTCGTTAAAGCAATTATTTCCATCATTTTTTTTTCTTTTTTTTCTTGCATGGTGGGTGTAAATAAATAGAAAATACCAAGCTAATGTCTTATATTACAAAATTTATCAGACAAGGTTTAGACAAAAAAAGAAGGGTAAGGCTCATATTTATAATACCAGACACTTGTTTGGTATTCTATTTATCATGTTTTCAATTCTATATTATGCGTTTCTTTCTTTAAAATTCAAATGTAACAAAAAAACTGCAACGAACCTCTTAGATTCATGCCGCGCGCAGTAATATGCCAAGGGTCATATCTGTAAGAAATAGTCCCACATGATTTTAGACGAATTGTAAGAGATACTTTAATATTCAAAAAAAATCTATTCGTCTCAAAGTTTATCAGTTTAATATTTTTTAAACTAGTAAAATGTAAAAATATTCCATTCTCTTCATTTTATTTCAACGTAAAAATCGAGTTTTAAAGGATTGAAAAACTGTACTAACATATCTACATTCAAACTTGGAGAAAGTTTCTTTTTTGTTTCAGTATTTATATATAGATAATATCCGAGGATGTTACGATTGTAACCGTCTATATACTAATAAACATGAATTTTTAATCGGCAATGAGAAACAAATAAATATTACACACGATGTCGTCTATCAATTTACACGGAAAAATTACACCTCGCTTAAGGATCGGACCACCGACCCCTGGATTTCCGATGCTCTTACTATTGTGGTGAGCGGACAAATCACCCATTACAAATGCATTCCACTTAGAAACACTTAACTAGAATTTCAAAATACTGTGAGCAACCTTATTATTTGTACAAAAGAAAAATAACCAAATCCCTAAAGAACGCCCAAAACAACAAAATTGAAAAATGTTGCTGGCTCGGATTGATTGAGCCTGTTCATAGACGGTAATGAAATCCAAGGTACCGTTCATGCCCTTTAGCACCGGCTTAAGAATAATTTTACATATAAACATGAAAATGGTTTAAAACATCCGCAGATGTGTTCATTATGCGGTTATCATGGAACATTCCATGTGACACGTTATCGCCATTCCATGAAAAGCGGCGTAACGTCCAAAAGTAAAAGAATATTTGTACCCTTTAGCCCACTAACGTTAATGACGTATTGACATTGTGACGTAACTGACGATGTCGTCATAACGTCGTTGTTACTTTGGCTAACAACGTCAAAGCAGATACAGCAATCTTTAAAAGCAGACGACGATTCTATAGCAGACGACAATTTATAATGAAGAAAACAACACAAAGCGTTGAACGTCTTCAGGACATGTTAAAGTAAGCACCTATATGATTTATAGTATCTGGCGATCATTTTATGCTAGTAGATCTATTTTATATTTGGTAGAATTACGATTTTGAATACGCTAACAAAACAAAATCGAATCCGATGAAAAACAATCGGAAAAAGTCTATGGCAAAGACAATCGGTACATATTGTACAAGATTAATTTGGTTTAATTTTTATAACTTATTCAATGACTTGATACGCGCATATTACTTTCACATGCAATGTACCGTAGCAATTCAAATTATTAATAGATTTTCAATTGTCTAGCCGATAAAATGTGCTTTAATAAATATAATTTCTTTCTTGCAGACATGCATCCAGAAAGAGGAAGCGTTCCGAAAGCCCGGATGAGGAATCGCTACCCCCAGCAAAGCGTCCAAGAAAGATGGTGGCTGTGGTTCCACTATTTCCAAGGACGTTTTTACTAAAGGTCAAGAAATGGCAAGACAGGAAAAGAAAAATTGAATTAGGTAATTATTGAAATTGTGATATATTTTTTAAATAAGATTGAAAGTAAATACAAAATAAACATAGATAAGTCATAAAGCTGTTAATGAAGAAGTATTTCCAAAACATAGTATGTATGTCATTAACTATCGGTGAATTAAAGCCATCCCCAACCGACTGACCGCCTCCTAATCGAACGTACCATTCCAGACAGTAAATTCCCCGCTAAATACCACCATACTTTTGTTTTATTGAGCCCCCATCGCGAGAAAAAGAAACAGACTGTAAAAAATGTGGCTGATTTCCTTGGTTGTTATCCCCGCAGTCCCTCATGCAAGGGCCGGTGTTGCAACTAACTCGTGTATTTTAATTAATTTCTTTGTTTCTTTAATTTGAAAACTTTTTTGAAATTTTCTAAAATAAAAGTCACCAATAGTTGGAACGTAAGCAAAAAAAAGGGGAAAAAAACTAAAAATGTTATAAACATGCCATACAATTATGTAATTATTTCAGAGATCTAGTGAATGTTTGAAATGAATTTAGCGAACAAAAATGTCGTCTACATCAGCATAGATTGTAAGAAACAAATCAAGGTCTAAAAACAATAAAACTGTTGTATGTTAAAGAATCAAGAGTCAACCTCATCAAATAAAACAAATTATATCTTATTGTTTGTTATGTATACACTACTGAAATGAATAACAATATTTTCGTCTGCTTCTTTCTAGGCATGGCTCTATACATAGAGGCACAGTTGAAGAAAATGGCCGACACATCATCTTCGCCACCAGAACCCGCAGTTTCATTATCAGTTGAAGCATTAGAGGGAATTAAGGCAGCCGAGCAGCTGATTGAAGAAATCTCGGCCGAGATCGCCGCTTCTTTTCCAAAGCGTTATGGAATCATCAAGAGGCTGGAGGCCAACAATGTTGCAGACGATAGTGTCGAGGTCAAGGTCGTTCCTTTTAAGCGCCGTGGCGGATGGAGGAAAAAGGGAGAGAAGCGATACTAAATTGAGTGATAAAAAGACCAAAAAAAACATAAAATAAACAAAAATGCTAAAAGCAAACGCAATTTGGGAGTTTTGATAAGAGAAATGCGTCATTTGACAAGTTATCACTTTCAAAAATCTGGTAAAAGGGAAGCATATTAAATATGATAAACAAGATAAACAAGGAGAGGCGGCGTTCAATGAACGCAACCCCCACATGACCCAGCAACAAGGACCAGCGACCAGGAGCCCAGGAGGACCCCAAACAAAAACAGGACAGGGCACAAGGCAGGGCACGGACAAGATAATCACTTCAACAATAAATAAAAGAAAATAATAGTAACCAACAAATTTACATGAAAATTGCAGACTTCGTTTGATTGAGTCTGAACATGAGGGATAATGAAGAACTGCATATGAGATGAAGAATGGTGTCAGTTTAAACTAAAAGTGAGACTTACTGAAGTTACAGCTAAGATGACAGTCACGTGATTTGTTTTTTTAAAACATTTGAGCTTTCCAGCCGAAAGAAAACGAAATAAAAATTTATTTATAGGCTGGTAGAACTTTGTTGAGTTTATATAGTATGCCCACGGTATGCCAGCCACCGTCCTGTATATAGAATTTATTTGAAAGAAATAAATACGTAAACTACAATGCTTTAAAACAATCTAATTTTCTTTTTAATGTATACTTGACTTGTCTATAACACCCGAACGTCTGCGGTTCTACTCGGGTGCCCGTTTGTGCCTTGAAATAAAATACACGGAAAAGCCAACTGAGGTCTTCCTCTACCAGTAAAGCTGGAATGTCGCAGTATGGCCTGTACTGTGTCGGTGTGACGTAAAACCCAATCAAACAAACAAACAACCCACCGTTGCTACTTATGATAACCATTGCTAAGATACTGTACATTTGGAAAATAAACAATGAACAAAGTATTAATTTAGAGAAACATCAAATACGGAATTTATTTTTTCTGCACAAAATCGCTCTACTCGTACCATTAAATATATATTTTAGAAGTTTACTGTACATAGTGTTCATTTTTTTCATATACGGTTTCAGTAAAACCGTATTTGATAATTTATTTTATGACTTATCGGGCGTTAATCTTAAGTATTTACTTGTTTTATGTCTATCCTGTAACATCCCTGGACCTTAATATAGCATTACTCATGGCACCCTGGACTTAACTTATTCCACACTACTCATAACATACTGTAACATCCCTCATAGAGCATTACACACGACACCCTGGACTCAACTAACTTCACACTACTCACAGTATATTGTAACATCCCTCATAGAGCATTACTCATTGCACCTTGGGCTCAGCTTACTTCACACTACTAACAGCATATTGTAACATTCCTCATATAGCATTACTCATTACACCCTGGGCTCAATTTACTTTACACTACTCACAGCATATTGTAACATTCCTCAAAGAGCATTACTAATTACACCCTGGGCTGAATTTAACTTTACAATACTCACAGCATATTGTAACATTCCTCATAGAGCATTACTTATGACACCCTGGACTCAACTTACTTCACATAACTCACAGCATATTGTAACAGCCCTCATAGAGCATTGCTCATGACACCCTGGGCTCACTTTACTTTACACTACTCACAGTATATTGTAAAATCCTTCATAGAGCATTACACACGACACCCTGGACTCAATTTACTTCACATAACTCACAGCATATTGTAACATCCCTCATAGAGCATTACACACGACACCCTGGACTAACTTACTTCACATTACTCACAGCATATTGTAACATTCCTCATAGAGCATTACTCACGACACCCTAGACTAAACTTACTTTACACTACTCACAGCATATTGTAACATTCCTCATAGAGCATTACTCACGACACCCTGGGCTCAACTAACTTCACACTACTCACAGCATATTGTAACACCCTACATAGAGCATTACACATGACACCCTAGACTCAACTTACTTTACACTACTCACAGCATATTGTAATATTCCTCGTAGAGCATTACTCATTACACTCTGCGCTCAATTTACTTTACACTACTCACAGCATATCGTAACATTACTCATAGAGCATTACTAATGACACCCTGGACTCAACTTACTTCACATAAATCACAGCATTTTGTAATATCCCTCATAGAGCATTACACACGACATCCTTGGGTCAATTTATTTTACACTACTCACAGCATATTGTAACATTCCTCATAGAGCATTACTCATGACACCCTGGACTCAACTTACTTCACATAACTCACAGCATTTTGTAACATCCCTCATAGAGCATTACATATTACACTCTGGAGACAACTTACTTCACAAAACTCACAACATATTGTAACATCCTTCATAGAGCATTACACACGACACCCTGGACTCAACTTACTTTACATAACTCACAACATATTGTTACATCCCTCATAGAGCATTACTCATTACACCCTGGGCTCAATTTACTTTACACTACTCACAGCATATTGTAACATTCCTCATAGAGCATTACTTATGAGACCCTGGAGATAACTTACTTCACATAACTCACAGCATATTGTAACCTCTCATAGAGCATTGCTCATGACACCCTTAGTTCAACTTACCTTACTTTTCACTGCTCACAGCACATTGTAAAATCCCTCATAAAGCATTTCTCATGTCACCTTGGACTCAACTTACTAAACGCTATTCACAGCATAATTCAAAATTATAACTCATACAGCATTATTCTTCTATGTCCCTGTTTAGTTCAGCTTACTTCTCACCACTCTAAGCATACATTACTTGTGCTCAGCTCATCTGAGCATAAAGTGAGCTGAGCATTATGCTAAGCACCATGAAGATTAATCGCCGAACACAACTGTAGGCGCCATAGAAAGTGAATTATATTCACGATGCTTTAAGATCAGTGATTAATGTTGATGTAAAAGTTTGTTGGAATTTTTTTTATAGATTTCCTGCTATCCTACATCAAGGGAGATAACTTTAACAAAATTATGATGTTCTCCCTTAATAAGCGGGACGTCCATTGCTGATTGGTGTGTTTCAAATTTGGGTTTTGTCTTGAGTTATTGTGGTTTTTAGGTAAAGAACTCTAGTTTTATAGCTTTTATTTTTTTACACCGATTTTAAACGGGTTGGGTTATATTTCGGTGATCGATCGCCTTAGCGGTTTTCATTGATAATAATTCCATCTTGTCTTATTATTTATTCTTAAAAAAATATTAGATTTTTTATTGTGTAACTTATGCTAAGAAGTGACCGTCGACGTAATTCATTGAAAAATGAAATCAAATAGACCAAATTAATACAATAACCATAGTGGTAAAGGTGTCTGCCTCTCTTCCCATGAATCATGGGTTCGAGCCCTACTCGGGCCATAATCATAATTCCTCATATGGTACCAGTACTGGTTAGTTCCATTTGTTCCCGTCTTAGTTTATCAGTAATCCAGTTATTAGTACCAATCTCTTCGCCAGTGACCGTCTGCTAATCCCACTTGAGATGAGATCAATGTCGTCTGTTAATTTTCACGGAGAAATTACACCTCTCCCAAGGATCTAACTAGCGCCCCCTGGATTACTAATCCGATGTGTTCATTATGCGGTTATCATGGAAACTTCCATGTGACACTTTATCGCCATTCCATGAAAAGCGGCGTATGGTCCAAAAGTACAAGAATGCGTGTACCCTTTAACCTACTAAACGTCAATGACGTAATTACATTGTGACGTAACTGACGATGTCGTCATAACGTCGTTGTTACTTTGGCTAACAACGTCAAAACAGATACAGCAATCTTTAGAAGCAGACGACGATTTTCTAGCAGACGACAATTTATAATGAAGAAAACAACACAAAGCGTTGAACGTCTTCAGGACATGTTAAAGTAAGTACCTATATGATTGATAGTATCTGGCGATCATTTTATGCTAGAAGATCTATTTTATATTTGGTAGAATTACGATTTTGAATACGCTAACAAAACAAAATCGAACCCGATCAAAAACAATCGGATAAAGTCTATGGCAAAGACAGTCGGTACATACTGTACAAGATTAATTTGGTTTAATTTTTTTAACTTATTCAGTCAATTTTCTTAACTGACTTTATACGCGCATATTACTTTCACATGCAATGTACCGTAGCAATTCAAATTATTAATAGATCTTCAATTGATTAGCCGAAAAATGTGCTTAAATAACATAATTATAAAATTTCTCTCTTGCAGACATGCATCTAGAAAGAGGAAGCGTTCCAAAAGCCCAGATGGGGAATCGCTACCCCCAGCAAAGCGTTCAAGAAAGATGGTGGCTGTGGTTCCACTATTTCCAAGGACGTTTTTATTAAAGGTGAAGAAATGGCAAGACAGGAAAAGAAAAATTGAATTAGGTAATTATTGAAATAGTGATTTTCTTTTTATTAAATTTTTATTAAATACACCAAAGATCTAAGTGAAAGAAGAAGTATTTCTGAAAATAGATAGTATGCTTTTATGAAAATTATGTAAATAATTTACACCCCACCCCCTCCCAATCCAGTGATTAGCTTATATGTTAAAGAATACATCAATCCAATCATATCTTATTATTTGTTATGTGTACACTTTCTTCGTCTGCTTCTTTCCAGGTATGGCTCTATACATAGAGGCACAGTTGAAGAAAATGGCCGACACATCATCTTCGCCACCAGAACCCGCAGTTTCATTATCAGTTGAAGCATTAGAGGGAATTAAGGCAGCCGACCAGTTGATTGAAGAAATCTCGGCGAGATCGCCGCTTCTTTTCCAAAGCGTTTATGGAATCATCAAGAGGCTGGAGGTCAACAATGTTCAGACGACAGTGTCGAGGTCAGGTCGTTTCCAGTTAAGCGTCGTGGCGGATGGAGGAAAAAGGGAGAGAAGCGATACTAAGTTGAGTGATGAAAAGACAGAAAAGAGCATAAAATAGAGAAAAATGCTAAAGCAAACGCCATTTGGTAGTTTCAGTAAGAGAAATGGCGTCACTTGTCAGGTTGTCAAAAATCTGGAAAAAGTGAAGCATATTAAATATGATAAACAAGATAAACAAGGAAAGGCGGCGTTCAATGACCGCACTCCCACACGACCCAGCAACAAGGACCAGCGGCCAGGAGCCCAGAAGGACCCCAAACAAAAACAGGACAGGGCACAAGGCAGAGCACAGACAGGATAATTACTTCAACAATAAATAAAAAGAAATAATAGTAACCAACGAAATACATGAAAATTGCAGACTTGGTTTGATTGAGTATGTACATGAGGGATAATGAACAAGAAGTGCATTTGAGATGAAGACTGGTGCGAGTTTAAGCTGAAAGTGGGACTTTCAGGATAACAGTCATGTGATTTGGTTTTTTAACATTTGAGCTTTCCAGCCAAAAGAAAAGGAAATAAAATATTTTATAGACTGGTATAATTTGTTGAGTTTATATATTATGCCAACGGTATGTCAGCAATCGTTTTACTTATATGGAATTTATTTGAACGATATAAATACGTAAACTACAAAGCTTAAGAATAGTCTAATTTTCTTTTAAATGTATACTTGATTTGTCTATAACACGCGAACGTCGGCGGTTCTACTCGGGTACCCGTTTGTGTCTGAAAAAAAAGCACGGAAAGGGACCCGAGGGCTTCCTTACCAAAAGTTGGAAGTCGCCCTTGATAAAAATGTGTGGTGTGAGGGAAAAACCCCCAACCAAACCCAAACAAAAAAAAAAGCCCAAAATAAACTCCCCAAAATGTTATTTTTTTGAAAAACCCTTTTGCTTCCCTAAAATACTGTACGTACATTTGGAAAATATAAAAGGACCCGAAATAAAATAGGGAAATACATTTTTTTTCTTTTTTTTTTGGCGCAAATCGCTTTATAACTCGTACCATTGGGGATATTTTTAAGAAGTTTATAGTGTTCAATTTTTATATCACTTAAAAAAGTTCTAACCCGATCATTTTTTAAATTTTTTGATTTTTTATAACGGTCAATGATCCTTAAAAAAATCACCTCTGATTTTTGTGTCATTTTTCCTAACCCGTGATTTCTGGAAAGGAAAAAATAATTTAATAAGGTTTCATGCACTCCAACGCGGGAGAACGGGCGCGGTTTAACATTTTGGCACGAAATGGTTGTGGCCACAGAGCGTGGTGAGTTTTAATTTTTAAACATTGCAATAAATCCTTGTCCTTTATAAGTGATAAACTAAAACATGGGCACGAATGTGATTGCCAGGATCGTTCCGACATTGGAATTTGATCAACATGAGTGGCTTTTCCCAATTTTTTTTTAAATTTTCGATAAAGAAATTTAAATATTTAAAAATAGAAAAGGGTAAAAATTTTATTTTAAGGGTTTTTTCCATTTCCTTTGGGAAATAAAAAAAAGGGGATTTAGGGGTTTTATTTTTTTTCCCCAATATAAAACAAAACTCGGGGTGATCGGTTAGTTTTTGTTCATTACGGGTTTAGAAAAGTATATAATTCCCTTTTTTTATGATTTACCCAGGATTTTAATCCCCAAGTTTTTTTTTCTTTTTTATCCCCTATATGAAACATCTCTAATAGAGCTTTAAACTTAAAACCTTTTAAACACTACAAAAAAAAGTTTTCGTAACCCAACCCCCCCTTTCAGGGCGGGAACTTTACTCTTTGGGCACCGGACTAACTTCATAAACGCCCAGTTTTCTGTAAACCCCTACAAATGAGCATTACTCATGAGATTCTGGGCTCAACTAATATCCCGGTCACATATTCACGGAATACGCCCACGGAAGAGCCACGGATGAATTCCGGCATCGTCCGTAGCTACCCGTACTGGTCAGTAGCTCTCCGTATTGTAACCGTAATCAATCGTAGTAGTCCTGGTATATCCGTAGCGATCCTTGTCAATTTTTGAACATGCACAACAATTTGCTACGGAAAAATCAACCGTAGCGTATCCCTGCTAGTCCGTATTAAAACGTACCGATACTTACTGGTCCGTACGAAAACCGTACTAGTCCGTACTGATTCGTAGTCCACCAACTTGTCAAGGATTTCCACGGTTTGGTACGGAGAACTACGTTTTTGTACGGTTACCCTACGTATAAGCTACGGTTTTAATACGGGTTAATACGGAAAGCCACGATCGTAATACGTTGTACTACGGAGAGGCAGGGATTAGCACGGTCTTGTAAGGTTTATTGCGTTGCAACACGAAACCGTACGGACTTGTACGGTCCACCACTGTTTAGTACGGATGAATTAAGTATCATGTACTTTCCAAGGATACTATCTTCTTGTTAAAAACAGACATATTTGCGGGAACATTCAATAAATGATAATTGCCATTTACTGGCTGCAACTTTATATTGAAATGGCTCAGAATGCGCAGGCAGTGGTCGAGCTGCTTGATGCCATGCATAGAGGTAAATGTATATAAATATCGTACTACAATTCAAGTAATAGAATAATAAAATTTAATGTTACACATTTTACAAACATTGGATCGTGAAATTTGAGTAAATATGTACATGAAACGAAGTGTCTCATAAGACTTGGACACTGGCCCTTGAGTTATAAGAAGATTAATTAACAAGCCTTTTACATATTTTTAAAACATAAACATTCACGATAATTAATGTTATTGTAAAATGAACAGCAAATTTTAAAATTAAAAGAGACGCAGTTTTGATCAACCCTTTTTTTTAGTGATTGCTAGTCCATATCTAATTAGGTAAGAGAGGACAGGAGAGATGGTGGACTAAAGATGGGCTTTTACGAAGACGCCTTCATGTTTAGTTCCGAACTTGTTGAGGACCCAGCGTCCTTCAAGCAATTCACTTTAATCAGACCTGATGTGTCTCGGGGGTCAGACGAGATCAGGCCGAATCCTCTCCGCTGAAATCATTAAACCCTGCAATTCGTTTTCCAGGTGTTCTTTTCTTGTGAGGCATTTTGAAAATTAGCATGCAAGAGATTGTGGACGAATGTATTAGGTCCGTATAGATCCGTGGCAATACGTTCTTCTCCGTATCAATTCGTTCTTCTCCGTATCAGACCGTACTTATTCGTACTTAGCCGTGATTATACCGTAGCAGACCATAATGTATCGGTAGTGCATCCGTCCTAATTCGTGTCGATCCGCATCAAACCGTGTCGGTCCGTAACAATCCGTGTCTCTCCTGGGGATTTTGGTGGTAAATCCGTCGGACTCCGTGCTCATACCGTTGTGTGTCCGTACTGGAACCGTAGCGGACTACGGAATTTCACATTTCCGTAGTAATCCGTGAACGATTAGACCGTAGCTCTTCCGTGGCATTATCCGTGAATATGTGACCGGGGCTTTACATACACTGATCACAACATATTGAACCTTCCCTCATAGAACATTACTCATGATACCATATTACATCATATTGTAACATTCCTCATAGTGAATCGCTCATGACAGCCTTGACTCAAATTACTTCACACTACACACAGCATATTGTAACATCCCTCATAGAGCATTACTCATGGCACCCTGGGCTCAACTTACTTCACACTACACATAGCATAATGTAACATCCCTCATGCATAATGTAACATCCCTCATAGAGCATTACTCATGGCACAACTTACTTTACACTACACATAGCATAGTGTAACATCCCTCATAGAGCATTACTCATGACGCCCTGACCTTAACTTACTTCACACTACTCACAGCATACTATACATCACTCATAGAGCATTTCTCATGACACCCTGGGCTCAACTTACTTTACACTACTCACAGCATAATGTTACATAACTCATATAGCATTACTCATGACACCCTGGCCTCAACTTAAAACTACTCACAGCATACTGTAACATTCCTCATAGAGCTTTACTCATGGCATCTTAGGCTCAACTTACTTAACACTACTCACAGCATTATGCAACAAACTCAAACAGCATTATTCTTTTGTGCCCCTGCTTCAGTATAGCTTACTCTCACTTCTCTAAGCATTCATGAGTTGTGCTCAGTTCAGCTGAGCATAATGTGAGCTGAGCATTTCGCTAAGCACCCTGAACATTGATCACTGGACATTTTTGTGAGCTCCCTATAAAGGGAGTTATATTCAAGCTGGCTTAAAGATCACTGAGTAATGACCATTTATAACAAATGTGATGCTGGTTGATCTTAATTTTCTACTCTTTTTATCATTTCCTGCATCAAGGGAGCTAGCTTTAACAATCTTATTTTTTTTCCACTGCATATAATTTCCTTCCTTAGTTTGTAATTTTTTAGGGCGTCTGTGGCTGTGTAGACCAAAGGCTCGACTTTTCTTAGAATAATCGAGCTAATGCAGTCACCCATTTGTCGGCGTCGGCGTTGTCCCTGTGGTTAAGTTTTTGCGTGTAAGCTGGAATCTCCATAACTACTGAAGGGAATGGATTAAAACTTTTACACACATGTTCTCAATGATAATCTAACATGATTGGTACAAATCCCATAACTCTGATTTGCTTTTTTGCATAATAGTGCCCCTTTTTCGACTTAGAAATTCTTGGTTAAGTTTTTGCGTGTAAGCTGATATATCCATAACTACTGAAGGCTTTACACACATGTTTTCTGTGATTATCTAACATGATTGGCATAAATCCCATAACTTTGATTTGCTTTTTTGCATATGTATGCCCTTTTTTCGACTTAGAAATTCTTGGTTAAGTTTTTGCGTGTAAGCTGGTATCTTCATAACTGCTGTAGGGAATGGATTGAAACTTCATACACTTGTTCTCTGCGATTAGCTAACATGATTGGCACAAGTCCCATAATTATGATTTTCTTTCATAATCATGTTTTCAACTTAGAAATTCTAGGTAAAGTTTTTGTTTGTAAGCTGGTATCTCCATAACTACTGATGGGTTTGTTCCTTTTTTGGAACAATTTTAAGCATTCATAATAAAAAAAACAGTGATTAATTCGATAAAACTTCTTAATAACAAGCCTTTGACCTTTTCGGACAATTTTATGTATTCAAATAGTAAGCATTATTTTACTCAATGAAACACCGTTGTGACAATTTTTTCGAATAGTTGAACGTTACTTTCTTCTGACAGTTCTCGTTTTTTTAATTATCTGCCTTTTTATTTTTTTATATTTTCAGTTTAGTAGAACTATACCCCCTTTTCTACTTTGCTTTCATCATAACTCAAGTAATGAGTAAAGTGGAGCAATCTGCAAGTCGGACAATTTTGTCAAATACTCGACATGTTGGTTGCTATGTTTCAATTTTGAATTTTGTGTGGAGTTACTGTGGATTTTTATGTTAAGAATTTTATATTTTATGCAGATGTTAAACGATTTATGTTATATTTTGTTGATCCATCGCCTTAGACTTGGTGGCTTAGATCAATTTTCACGGAGAAATTACACCCTGCCCAAGGATCGCACCAGCGCCCCCTGGAATACTAACCCGATGCTCTTCCTGTTGAGCTAAGCGGACCAATTACCCATTTTGAATGCATTCCACTTAGAAACACTTCTTTATAACTTCAAAATAATGTTATCAACCTTATTATTTGTACAAAAGAAAAAAAAACGAATCCCTAAATAACGCCCAAAACGACAAAAAATGAAAATGTTGCGGGCTCGGTTTGATTGACGGTACTGGAAAGTGCAAGGTACCGTTCACGCCCCCTAGCACCGGCTTAAGCAGAATTCTACATTTAAACATGAAAATGGTGAAATTTTGAATTTAGAAACATCCGCAGATGTGTTCACGACGGTTATCATGGAACATTCAATGTGACACGTTAGCGCCATTCCATGAAAAGCGGCGTATACGGTCCAAAAGTAAAAGAATATGTGAGACCTTTAACCTACATACGTCAATGACGTATTTACATTGTGACGTAACTGACGATGTCGTCACAACGTCGTTGTTACTTTGGCTAACAACGTCAAAACAGATACAGCAATCTTTAGAAGCAGACGACAATTTTCTAGCAGACGACATTTTGCAATGAAGAAAACAACACAAAGCGTTGAACGTCTTCAGGACATGTTAAAGTAAGTTCCTGTATAATTTATAGTATCTGGCGATAATTAAAATGTATGTGTATTATTATATTGATAAGAACTAAACTTAACTCATTGTTCGGTCACATGAAATCTCTTGTGTTCAATTGACTACAATTTATTATATCTAGCTCTGTTAGGTATTTTTATATTCATACGCTTGTTAGAATAGGAAATACACTTACACGATTCTCATACGTTGTGAGACCCGTCTTATCTTTAAGTTAATAACTGCATGTATATAGATCTATATTATAGAAATTCACAAAATGTTCTGCAACATCAAATTATATTTTTTCCCGAAATTATTCATTTAATTTAGTATATATACCAGATCTATTCTTATTTCCATGACTTGTAAGGGAACATAATAAGTAATATATATATCTAGTAGTGTCATGATCTTGCTGATCAAATTAGTTACAACAAAAAAGGGTACTTTACAGTTTGACGAAATAGTCCCTTCTTGCATATAGTTGTTGGAATTCAAAAGTGTCTAAAAATTACATATTTTTAGACTTAATTAATGGTAAGAAGATATTTTCACTATAATTTCTTATTTGCAGACATGGATCCAGAAAGAGGAAGCGTTCCGAAAGCCCTGATGAGGAATCGCTACCCCCAGCAAAACGTCCAAGGAAGATGGTGGCTGTGGTTCCACTATTTCCAAGGACGTTTTTATTAAAAGTCAAGAAATGGCAAGACAGGAAAAGAAAAATTGAATTAGGTAATTATTGAAATTGTGTTTCTAATTTCTTTTATTTAATTGAAAGTAAATTCAGAATATTGATTGATATTTCATGATACACCAAAGCACATAATTAATGAAGTATTTCTCAACCATGCCGTTATACATCACTGAATTAAAGCCCTACCGCCCCTGCCCCCACCTCAGTCCCCGTCTCGAATCCAAATAATAGCAAGGCAGGGACATACATTAAATTCCCCCGCTAAAATGTATACCAAAGCACTTTTGTTTTAGTCATTAATATTAAATTAGGTGGTTATTGAAATTGCGATCCTTTTTATCAAATTGAAAGCAAATTAAAATATTGATTGATATTTCATAAAACACAAAATCTCTTTATTAATGAAAAATATTTCTCAAAACAACATAGTATGCCGTTATGCATCAGTAAATTGTAGGCCTCACACACCTTCAACCACACAGTTACAATTTTCTTCTTTGTTTCTGTAATTTAAACACTTGGAATTTTCTAAAATAAAAGTCACCAATGAAACGTTAACGAGAAATAATAAGTAAAAAAAAAGTTATAAACATGCCATGCCATAACTAAATGTATCTAGCGAATGTTTGAACACATCATGTCGTCTGCATCATAGATGATGCAATGCAAGAAACAAATCATTTAAGGAACTCTTAAATTAAATAAAATACATTTTATTGTTTGTTATGTTACCCTACTGGAATGTATGACAATATTTTCTTCTGCTTCTTTCCAGGTATGGCTCTATACATAGAGGCACAGTTGAAGAAAATGGCCGACACATCATCTTCGCCACCAGAACCCACAGTTTCATTATCAGTTGAAGCATTAGAGGGAATTAAGGCAGCCGAGCAACTGATTGAAGAAATCTCGGCCGAGATCGCCGCTTCTTTTCCAAAGCGTTATGGAATCATCAAGAGGCTGGAGGTCAACAATGTTGCAGACAACAGTGTCGAGGTCAAGGTCGTTCCAGTTAAGCGCCGTGGCGGATGGAGGAAAAAGGGAGAGAAGCGAAACTAAATTGAGTGATAAAAAGACAAAAAAAAGAACATAAAATAAACAAAAATGCTAAAAGCAAACGCCATTTGGGAGTTTCAATAAGAGACATGGCATCACTTGTTAGGTTGTCACTTTCAAAAACGTGGAAAAATTGAAGCATATTAAATATGATAAACAAGGAGAGGCGGCGTTCAATGACCGCAACCCCCACACGACCCAGCAACAAGGACCAGCGGCCAGGAGCCCAGTAGGACCCCAAACAAAAACAGGACAGGGCACAAGGCAAAGCACGGACAGGATAATTACTTCAACAACAGAAAAAAGGAAATAATAGTAACCAACAAAATTACATGAAAATTGCAGACTTGGTTTGATTGAGTCTGTACATGAGGGATAATGAAAAAGTGCATAGAAGATAAAGACTGGCGTGAGTTTAAACTGAAAGTGGGACTTTCTAAAGTAACAGCTGAGATGACAGCCACGTGGTTTTTTTTGTTGTTGTTTTATTTTACATTTGAGCTTTCCAGCCAAAAGAAAATTAAATAAATTTTATAGGCTGGTAGAATTTTGTTGAGTTTATATTATGTCCATGGTATGCCGTATTCACAAACCTTTAAAAATAGAATACATGTTTTCAAAAAGATCCTCGACATTTTTTGTTTACTTTTTCAGGGGTGGGTGATCACGTGACATTGTTTACGGTAGCATTGTGTTACCGCTTATGGTATATGCTATTTTTTCGTTATATTTTCTCAATGTTTCAATAATAATAATATACCCTGTTTTACGTACTTAATGTTACTAAAAGCATGCTGTAACATTCCTCACATTACTCATGACAACCTGGTTCAACTAACATTACACTATTCACAACATACTGTAACATCCTTCATAGAGGAATACTCATGACACCCTGGGCTCAACTTACTTAACACTACTCACAGCATATTGTAACATCCTTCATAGAGCATTTCTCATGACACCTTGGGCTCAACTTACTTTACACTACTCACAGCATATTGTAACATCCCTCATAGTGAGTAACTCATAACAGCCTAGACTCAAATTACTTAACACTACTCACAGTATATTGTAACATCCCTCATAGTGAGTAACTCATAACAGCCTAGACTCAAATTACTTAACACTACTCACAGTATATTGTAACATCCCTCATAGAACATTACTCATGACACCGTAGGCTTAACTTACTTCACACTACTCACATCATATTGTAACATCCCTCATAGAGCATTACTCATGACAGCCTGGACTCAACTTACTTCACACTACTCACAGCATTATGCAACATACTCATACAGCATTATTTTTTGCGCCCCTGTTTCCTTATAGCTTACTCTCACTTCTCTGAGCATACAGGAGTCGTGCTCAGCTCAGCTGAGCATAATGTGAGCTGAGCATTATCCTATAAACCCTGAACATTCATCACTGGACATTTCTGTGAGCTCCCTATTAAGTAAGTTATATTCAAGATGCTTTAAGATCAGTGAGTAACGTCCATTTGTTACAAATGTGATGCTGATTGATCTTAATTTTCTTCTTGTTTTTCATCACTTCTTGTTTCAAGGGAGCTAACTTTAACAGTCTTATTTCTTATCAGCATAAAAGTATCTTCCTTAGTTTGTCAGGATGTCTGTGGCTGTGTGGTCCAAAGGAAAGATTACCCTGAACGTCATTTTTTTCTAAACTATCTGCCTTTTTATATTTTTTATATTTTTAGTTTAGTAGAATAATGCCCTCTTTTCTACTTTGCTTTCGTCATAAGTCCTAAGAAAAGTGGAGCACGATGCTTCTCGGACAACTCTCGTCAAATACTTATCACGACGTGTTGATTGCAATGTTTCAATTCTAAACTTTGTGTGAGTTACTGTGGGATTTTTAAGATGTAGAATTTTAATTTTTTATGGCCGGATTTTATTTTTTTGGTCGGTCCAGTGCTAGCCGGGGTTTTCCTTGATAACTAAACCTGTACTTCATTAAACTACCCTATTTCTCCGCCAATATAATTCCCAACATGATTTTGATTACAGGGTGATAGACAAATTCTAAATAACCCCATTAACAACCGATGATCGTCTGTTAATTTAACACCCTGCCCAAGGATTGGACCAGCGCCCCCTGTATTACTAACCTGATGCTCTTCCGGTTGAGCTATGCGGACAAATTTACACATTATGAATGCATTCCACTTAGAAACACTTCACTATGATTTAAAAATACTGTAAACCTTATTATTTGTACAAAAGAAAAATAACCGAATCCCTAAAGAACGCCCCAAAACGACAAAATTGAAAAAATGTTGCAGGCTCGGCTTGATCGAGCTTGTTCTTGGACGGTTCTGGTAGGTGCAAGGTACCGTCCACACCCCTTAAACACCGGCTTTAAAGAGAATAAGAAGTCCCACATTTAAACATGAAAACGGTGAAACATCTGCAGATGTGTTCATCATGCGATTATCTTGAAACCTTCAATGTGACACGTTAGTGCCATTCCCTCAAAAGCGGCGTTTACGGTCCAAAAATAAAAGAATGTGTGTACCCTTTAGCCTACTAACGTCAATGACGTATTTACATTGTGACGTAACTGACGATGTCGTCATAACGTCGTTGTAACTTTGGCTAACAACGTCAAAACAGATACAGCAATCTTTTGAAGCAGACGACAATTTTCAAGCAGACGATAATTTGCAATGAAGAAAACAACACAAAGCGTTGAACGTCTTCAAGACATGTTAAAGTAAGTACCTTTTCAATTTATAGTTTCTGGCGAGCATTTTATGCTTGTAGATTTATTTTGTTTTTGGTAGCATTATGACTTAAATCGAGGAAGGTCTCTGGTAACAAATATAAGTAACTGAATAAAATACAAATATATACATTATAAAAATGTATATGTATTATTATATTGATAAGAACTTAGCTTAACTCTTTTTTTCGGTCACATTAAAGCTCAAGATTGTGTTCAACTGAATACAAATATTAGCTTTGTTATGTATTTTGTAATACATATGCGTCTTTATAGAATATCAAATGAACTTGCGTTGTATATACACTTATAACTTTATAATTATGTGAAATGGAAAATCACTACATATTCTGCAAGCTTAGTAATTTAATTTATTATATATACTAGATAACATATTAGTTATAAATCCGATGACATGATCTTGCTCATCAAAGCAGTCGCAGTACTAAACAAGGGAACTTTACAGTTTGAAGAAATAGTCTCCTATTTACACAGATGTGTTGGAATTCAAGTTGTGGTGACCAAAATCATATATTTTTGCAATTAATTAGTGGAAAGAAAACGTTTCAACTATTATTTCATATTTTCAGACATGCATCCAGAAAGAGGAAGCGTTCCATAAGCCCGGATGAGGAATCGTTACCCCCAGCAAAGCGTCCAAGAAAGATGGTGGCAGTGGTTCCACTATTTCCAAGGACGTTTTTATTAAAGGTCAAGAAATGGCAAGACATGAAAAGAAAAATTGAATTAGGTAATTACTTTAAATGCGTTGTTTTAAGTGAAAGTAAGATTGCTGATTGATATTTCATAATACTCCAAAACTCTTAATTAATGAAGAAACATTTCTCAAAACAACAAAGTATGCCGTTATGCATTAGTGAATGAAAGCCCCCCCCCCCCCTTCACGCCCGCCTCCCTCCTAATTCAGTGAATAGTGGGGACGTTCCATGTCTGCGGGGACTGACAGTAAATTTCCCGCTAAAAACCATCGCACGTTTGTAATATTCATCCGCCAGTGCAAGTAAAAACCTGGCAGCTCTCCTCTGCTATTCCCTCGTGCAAGGACCGGTGTTACTGTTAATATGACTAGTGCATTTATTAATCTCCTCTTTGTTTCAGCAATTAAAATAATCTGGAAGTTCTTAAATATTAATGTTTGGAAAACAACTCTTGGAATCATATTTCACTGTTTTGGTAGAAAAATTATTTCAAAGTTTGAAATACATTTTACTAAAATAAAATGTCGTATGCATCATAGACACTGCAATGTAAGAAACAAAACAATGTCTGAAATAATAAAACCGTTGTATGTTAGAGAATCTAGAATCAATCTCATCCATAAAAACAAATTATTTTACTAAAAAAATGTATTTGTTATGTGTACACTTCTGAAGTGAATAACAATATTTTCGTCTGCTTCTTTCCAGGTATGGCTCTATACATAGAGGCACAGTTGAAGAAAATGGCCGACACATCATCTTCACCACCAGAACCCACAGTTTCATTATCAGTTGAAGCATTAGAGGGAATTAAGGCAGCCGAGCAGCTGATTGAAGAAATCTCGGCCGAGATCGCCGCTTCTTTTCCAAAGCGTTATGGAATCATCAAGAGGCTGGAGGTCAACAATGTTGCAGACGACAGTGTCGAGGTCAAGGTCATTCCAGTTAAGCGCCGTGGCGGATGGAGGAAAAAGGGAGAGAAGCGATACTAAATTGAGTGATAAAAAGACAAAAAAAAGAACATAAAATAGACAAAAATGCTAAAGGCAAACGCCATTTGGTAGTTTCAATAAGAGACTATTGTCAGGTTGTCACTTTCAAAAATCTGGGAAAAGGGAAGCATATTAATTATGATAAACAAGATAAACAAGAAAAGGCGGCGTTCAATGAACGCAACCCCCACACGACCCAGCAACAAGGACCAGCGGCCAGGAGCCCAGGAGGGCCCCAAACAAAAACAGGACAGGGTGCAAGGCAGAGCACGGACAGGATAATCACTTCAACAATAAATAAAAGGAAAAAATTGTAACCAACAAAAAATTACATGAAAATTGCAGACTCGGTTTCATTGAGTCTGTACATGAGGGATAATGAAAAGGTGCATACCAGATGAAATCTGGTGTTAATTTAAATTGAAAGCGGGACTTTCAGAAGTACCAGCTGAGATGACAATTACCTGATTTGGTTTTTTAACATTTGAGTTTTCCAGCCGAAAGAAAACGAAATAAAAAAATTTTAGGCTGGAAGAATTTGTATATTATGTTCACGGTATAACATAATCGTTCTACTTATATACAAATTAATTTTAGAAAATGAGTTTGAAAGATAAATACGTGTTTTGTAAATTACAAAGCAAATTTCTATGATGACATTTTTAAAATGATCTAGTTTTCAAAATGTAAATTTGATTTGTCTTTACAGCTCATCGTTGTTAACTTTTTGATAACCGTTGCTAAAATATACTGTACAATTGGAAAATAAATAATGGGTAAAGTATTAAGCCGAAGACCAAATACGAATTCGATTTTTTTCTGCTGAAGCTAGATTTTCTTCACTTTTCTTTTTTTCTGTTTTTCTGTTCTAACTAACCTAATTAACACTACTTAAAGCATGCGGTAACATCACGCAACTTACTCATGCCACCCTGTTTCCATTTACTTTACACTCCTCAAAGCATACGGTAATATCCCTCATAGAGCTTAACTCGCGGTATTCTGAACCTAGCCATCTTCACACTAAAAGCATATTGTGAAATCCCTCATAGAGTATTACTCATGGCACCCTGACCTAAGCTATCTTCACAATACAGAAAGCATATTGTGTAATTCCTCGTAGAGCATTACTCATGGCACCCTGACCTAAGCTATCTTCACAATGTGAAATCCCTCATAGATCATTACTCACGGCTTCCTGACCTTAGCTATCTTCACAACACTGAAAAGCATATTGTGTAATTCCTCGTAGAGCATTACTCATGGCAACCCTGACCTAAGCTATCTTCACAATGTTGAAATCCCTCATAGATCATTACTCACGGCTTCCTGACCTTAGCTATCTTCACAACACTGAAAAGCATATTGTGAAATCCCTCATAGAACCATTACTCATTGGCACCCTGACCTAAGCTATCTTCACAATGTGAAATCCCTCATAGATTATAAACTCACGGCTTCCTGACCTTAGCTATCTTCACAACACTGAAAGCATATTGTGAAATCCCTCAATAGAACATTACTCATGGCACCCTGACCTTAGCTATCTTCACAATGTGAAATCCCTCATAGAACATTACTCACGGCTTCCTGACCTTAGCTATCTTCACAACACTGAAAGCATATTGTGAAATCCCTCATAAGAACATTACTCATGGCACCCTGACCTAAGCTATCTTCACAATGTGAAATCCCTCATAGATCATTACTCACGGCTTCCTGACCTTAGCTATCTTCACAAACACTGAAAGCATATTGGTGAAATCCCTCATAGAAACATTACTCATGGCAACCCTGACCTAAGCTATCTTCACAATACAGAAAGCATATTGTGTAATTCCTCGTAGAGCATTACTCATGGCACCCTGACCTAAGCTATCTTCACAATGTGAAATCCCTCATAGATCATTACTCACGGCTTCCTGACCTAAGCTATCTTCACAACACCGAAAGCATATTGTGAAATCCCTCATAGAACATTACTCATGGCACCCTGACCTAAGCTATCTTCACAATGTGAAATCCCTCAATAGATCATTAACTCACGGCTTCCTGACCTTAGCTATCTTTCAAAACACTGAAAGCATTATTGTGAAATCCCTCATAGAACATTACTCATGGCACCCTGACCTAAGCTATCTTTCACAACACTGAAAGAAAATTTTGAAATCCTCATAAAACATTACTCATGGCACCCTGACCTAAGCTATCTTTGACAATGTGAAAAATCCCTCATAGAGTATTAACTCATGGCACCCCCCTGACCTAAGCTATCTTCACAAATGTAAACTCCCTCATAGAACATTACTCACGGCACCCTTACCTTAGCTATCTTCACAATGTGAAATCCCTCATAGAACATTACTCACGGCACCCTGACCTTAGCTATCTTCACAATGTGAAATCCCTCATAGAACATTACTCATGGCACCCTGAACTTAGCTATCTTCACAATACTCACAGTATACTGTAGCATCCATCATAGAGTATTATTTGTGCACCTTCGTCTGCACTTACACGTCATTACTCACAGCTTATTGTAAGATCCTTCATAGAACATCACTCATGGCACCTTGGTTTCAACTACACACAGTACATTGTAACGTCCCTCATACAGGATTACTCATAACAGCCTGTACTCAACTTACTCTAAACTGCTCACAGGATACAGTTACATCCCTCATAGAGGATAACTCATGTCACACTGAACTCAACTTACTTTACACTGCCCACAGGAGACAGTTACATCACTGATAGAGGATTACTCATGTCACACTTGTAACTCAACTTACTTCACACTGCTCACAGGAGACAGTTACATCCCTGATAGAGGATTACTCATGTCACACTTGTACTCAACTTACTTTACACTGCCCACAGGAGACAGTTACATCCCTGATAGAGGATTACTCATGTCACACTTGTACTCAACTTACTTTACACTGCCCACAGGATACAGTTACATCACTGATAGAGGATTACTCATGTCACACTTGTACTCAACTTACTTTACACTGCCCACAGGATACAGTTACATCCCTGATAGAGGATTACTCATGTCACACTTGTACTCAACTTACTTTACACTGCCCACAGGAGACAGTTACATCCCTGATAGAGGATTACTCATGTCACACTTGTACTCAACTTACTTTACACTGCCCACAGGAGACAGTTACATCACTGATAGAGGATTACTCATGTCACACTTGTACTC